TTCATTCCCCAAGGCAAGAGGATAACAGATGGAATCCCTCATGGACTTGAGCCGGGTGATCTGTTGTTCAACACATCATTACAAAATCTAACCAGGGAGTGAGTAGGGAGGTGACAATGTTTACAGGCAAAATTATCCCAAACGGCCATGCCTGAAACCAGGGGAAGATCTCACAGCACGGTGTGATGGGGAGATACAATGGGAGATGTGATTTAGTGTCAGTAAGAAACACATCTTGGAAAAATAATGCTAATCGTAGGTGTACAGCCACAGGCTCTAAATCAGCTATTACCTCTCCAAAATAAAGACATTTGGGAGTGATTATTGGTAGTTGTCTGAGAAGATCAGCTCAGCAGTAGTCAAGTTAAACATTGGCAGCTGTTAGAAAAGTAATATAAACCAAAATAGTAAACATCATTATGCTGGAGGTTAAAATACCACATTTTAATGACTGATTCTGATCCGTCCACCCCATCTCTGAAAGTAAATGGTAAGACTGCTAAAGCTACAGAGAAGGGCTGTCATGGTTAATCAGAGGGAGAAATAAGCTTCCGCGTAAGGGAAGAGCAAAAGCCTGTGAAGGACGTGACTGGTGGGGCAGAGAGAGAGAAGGTCATAGAGCTCCTGAGTTACAAATACTGCAGGGATGAGGAAGGACTAATTAGGCAGTAAACACCTAAGACAAAAGCTCGAGACACTGAAGAAAGCCCTAGACAAAGAAAAGCAAGGAAACTTTTCACGTAACACATCGGTCCCTGGTGAAGCTGTGGGGACAGGATGTGGAGGAGACCAGGCGAATTAAATGGGTTCAGAAAGGGACTTAAAGAAATTAATGGATTAGAGGGTCATTAGTGCTATTAAACATGATAGGAGGATGCTCTCCAGATTAAAAGTGGACTATTAACCACAGAAAAGCCTTCTACCCTACACAAAACGATCCCCATGTGAGATTTCAAAGGCTGTTCCTGCAGTGCACGCACTCGTCATTGGTGCTGCCACGCTTGCTCACAGCCTGAACAGAAATGCCACACACAGGGCGTCAACTCCAAATCCAGCCACAGATCTGCTCGTCTGGGGGTCAGGCTCACCCACGTATCAATGAGCTTTACACACTAGCATCGATCACATTGAATTTTATTGGTACACAAAGGAATTAGGTGCCCAGGAAGTACCTGGGATATTTAAGCAGTGGATCATGCACAAACTGCTTTAACTTATTGTTAAACACTCTATGCAATACTACACCTATACTTAGTTTCTAAATCTGGGCTATATACAGGCACCATTAGTACTTACTCTCCTCACATTTAACCTGGTTAGTTTACTTTCAGCTAAAATGTAATCTGACATCAACCTCAAACTCTTGACAATAAATCAGTGTAGTGAGAAATGGGAACGAGCTAGGAAAGAGCAACATTAAATAATGTCCTAAAGTGGGTTTTAAATGGCCTTCAGTGAGTTTTTCAAGATTTAGGATAGCTGATTTTTGCAATTATTTATTCACTCCTATGATTTTATGGAGGATTTTTGGTGGGTCATAAAGAATTTTTGTTAAAGCAGAGGGGTGAATAAATGCCCGCGGAAGCAGGAAGTGTATATGCGTGATGTTGCAGCCATACCATGTGCCTGGCCCGAGTATTCAGCGAGACATGGCAAGGATCACTTGCACTGCTGCTGCTCATTGCCTCTTGCATAGAAAACACATGATCATTTACCTTAAACTTTAACTGAACTTTCTCCTCTTTTCATTAAATAAAACGAACTGTGGTGCCCACAAGCCAACTCGAAGTTGAGCCACTTTACTCCCTGGAGTGCCGGGCTGCACCACTCTGAGGAGCATCCACACCTCGCCTAAGCTGTGGATACGCCGGACTAAAGGCAAAGCTCCCCATTCCCTATCGGGGAGCACACCCTCTCCATCGGGCCAGGGCAGCGCCAGGCCCCCACGGCCCCTCACGGCCGCCGGCCCGAGCGGGCCGCCCGAGGTACCCCTCACGGGAGACACTCCCCGACTCGGATGCTCGCCCAGGCCCAAGCGGGGCCTCCGCCACACTCCCCGCCCCACAGCTGAGGCGCTGGCCTGGGTGACCGGCGGAGGGAAGGAGGAAGAGACCCCGGCGCCGAGCCGCAGCCCCGTCGGCTGCCAGCTCCGGGCACCACCCCGCGGGCCGGGGGAGGCAGGAGGCCATGCCCAACCGCCGCGTCCTCTCCGAGCTGGCGCCGCACCCGGCCGCAGCGCCGCTAAGGGGCGCCGAGGGGGCGGGGCCTTTCCCCGCGACCCGTCGCGTATTGGCCGCAGAGCGGCACCTCCTCCCCTCATTGGTCCCTTCCGGCTCGCCTGCCGCCCGCCGATTGGCCCCACATCCCCCCTCCGCGAACGGGGGCGCGAACGTGCCGGGCGGGCTGTTCCCTGGCCGGGGGGCGCGCGCGGCCGCCTCGTGGGGAACTGCACGTAGTCAGAGCGGGCGGGGGGGCGGGAAGGGCACGCGCCGTTCCCGCCAGCGCCGGGGGCGCGTCAGGGACGGCTGTTGGAGGGTGGGGGAGAGGGACGGGGACCATGGGGGGTGAGGGGAGAAGGACGGGGGCCATGGGGTGTGAGGGGAGAGGAGGGGCGGCAGTGGGGTGCGAGGGGAGAGGAGGGGCGGCAGTGGGGTGTGAGGGGAAAGGAGGGGCTGCTATGGGGCGTGAGGGGAGAGGAGGGGTTGCCATGGTGTGTTAGGGGCAGTCTTGAGAGGAGGGGTGGCCCTGAGTGGTTAAGGGGTAGTCGTGAGGGGAGGGGCAGCCATGAGGGGTGGCAATGAGGGAAGATGTTAAAGGGAAATGAGAGATGGCCGGAAGGGGACACCTTAAGGGGAGGTGAGGGGTAGGGGCAGTCGTGAGTGAAGACCGTGACGGGAGGTGATGGGAGATGAGGGGTAGCCATGAAGGGTTGAGGTGGCAGCTGTGAAGTGCGTGCCACTATGGGGTAATACGAGGGGTGACGGTGAGTAGAGATCATATGGGGTATTGCCCTTACTGACATGGTTTAGTGGTAGACTTGGCAGTTCTAGGGTAAGTTTGGACTCGATGATTTTAAAGGTCTTTGCCAACCTGTGTTGATTCTGTGAGATGAGCGGTGGCTGTGAGTGGAGATCACAAGGGGAGATGAGGGGTTGTGGCCATGACAGGAGATGAAGGGTAGGGGTGAGGCACAATGGCAATGGGGTGTAAGGGGCACTATGGCAGGAGGGGTGGCCATGCAGTGAGGGGGCTGCCCTGGGGGGAGATGAGGGGCAGCTGTGGCTGCTTGTGAGGCCAGCAGAAGGTGGCTGGCTAGTATCACCACCCTCTGAGGAGCAGGGCTGAGATGCCCCAACACCACCCGCTGGCTCCTTTCCTCAGAGCAGCCAGTGCACACTGGTCACAGGGGTCCTGCTCGTCGCCAGCCCTGTTCCTCTCCCTCAGCTGCACCTCTTGGCCCCCAGGCCTGCGCATGGGGCAGAGCTGCCCAGTGAGGCCTGTGCTGTGGCTGGAAGGGTGTGCAGTACCCTCCTGGCTGCTTTGAAACGCCTCCACTCGCATGTTGCAGCAACACCTCTCTGGAGCAAGCTGCCTCCTAAGGTGCATTAGGACAAGGGATTTTGTAGGCATCTGCCCTCATCTGCATAGGTAATACCTCACATTTCATTTTAACAGGTATTGAAGTAGCTTAGAAATCCAAGTCTGAGGAGCTTGGGAGGAAATTTCTAAGAGCATTGCTGGAAATAGATGATCTTGGCTCCTGTTTGGCTGCTTTGGAGAAGGTGCCTTATTTATCCTGGACAAAATAATGCTGGAGATACTAGAGACCTTACACAGACAAGACAGATTTCAGTTCTGAAACGAGTGGATGATAACCCCATCCTGTCCCAACAATTTACCTTGGACAACCGTAGTAAAAACCCAGCTGCGTCCTGAATATTAGTTGGTGGTAAAAATACACTTCTTTCTGAAGCTGGCAATAGGCCCAGCATTTGTCTCTGCTGGCTGACACGCACTAAAACAAATCGCCTTGCCTGTACCGAGGTTTTAAAGGTGAACAGGCTGGTTGTGAGCAGCCCTTCGACATAGGGAAGTGCTTTTTATCCCAGGAGGTACAAATTGGTATTTGGCGGGGGGGGGCTCCCAAGTAAAGCCCAAAAGTGTGTTAGCTGCTGCCTTTGTCCATTAATAATGTGATATAAATGAACAAGCAGCAAAAGTGAGAATTTTTGTTATGGGGAATGCAGAAGTCGAGGTTTTAGAGGGGCGGAGGAGCATTCAGCACCCAAAACAAACCTCAAAAGAAGCACTGACGGTATTAATTCTCCCTTACTGCTAAACAGACTTGGTGAGATCGGTGAAGCTGTCCCGACAGAAGAAAAACCTTCGAGGTTTGTCTGCGGTCACGCAGTGCCGGGGACTGGAGTCGGGGTCATGGTAATGTTCCTTCCTAATTAAGAGACATTAGCGGTAGGTCCCGTTAAATGCAAACCGCGAGGCCCCGGCCGCAGAGCTGCTGTAAACGGCGGAACCCGGCAGGCAGTGGGGCCTCCACCTACCCGCCGAGAGCCGGCCCGGAGAGAAGCCGGGAGGGGACAGGGGATGCACCCACCGTCGGTCGCCCGCCCTCCCCCTGCAGCGGGCGGGTAGCGCCGGCATCCCCCGGGCCGGGCTGGGGCTGGGTGGCGGGGGCGTGCATTTAAAGGGAGCCGCGGAGCCAATGCGCAGGAAGGGGCTGAGCATGTGGGGAGGTTGTTTACAACAGCCCGGCCCCGGGAGCTTTAACCCGGCCGGCGGCGAGGCGCGGAGCGGGGCTCGGCTACCCGGACGCTGTGAGTAGCGGGCTGGCGGTGCTGGGTATCCTCTTCACGGCCGGACACCCTCCTTCCCTCCCCATCCTTGTACCCCGGCCGGTATTGCCGGGGGAAAAAAAAAAGGCGAAAAAAGGCCAAATAATAATAATAAAACCCCGCGCGCGGGAGCGGCTGTTCCCGCCTGGCCGAGCCCGGCCGCGCCTCCCCCGGCCCCGGCTCCTCCCCGCCCCGCCCGGCGGGGCTCCAGGCCGGGGCCGCCGCATACGTGAGCCGGCTGCGGCGGGGACACGGATTTCAAAACAAGCTGCGGCGGGGGAGGAGGGCGGGAGCCGCGCCGGAGGTAAGCGCCGAGCCGCGCCGGGCCCACTCCCCCAGCTCCCCTTCTGGCTGTGGCAGCCGGCTCTGCCACCCCCTCTCCGCGTCGGGTCTCTGCTGGCCGCCGGTGCGACCACCCCGCCGAGCCTTGTCCCGTGCATGCCTCCCACTGTCCGGGGGCCGGCCCGGTGCGTGCTCACCCTTCCCGGTGTTTGCACCCCTCCCCCTTCACCGGCCCGGTGTATGCCCCGCCCCCCGGCTTGCCCGGTGTGCCCCCCCCCCCCCAGCTCTTCCCCGTGTGTGCCCCCCGCCCGCCGCAGCCCGCCCCGCGCACACGTGCCCTGCCCGGTGCCGCCCTCCGCGGCAGGCCCGGGCACACGCCTCCTCCTCCCCTGCCTCTGGCCTTGCCATCTTCCCCACGTGCCCTGCCAGCCCGCACGGCCGCGGGCCCTGTCCACGCAGGCACGCACACATGCCATACATGCCCTGTCTTCTCCTGCGCGCTCGTCTCGGTCCCCATGCGATGGTTTCAAGTCACAGAGTGCCGGCACAGCTCCCAGAAAGCTGCAAACTCCCGCCCTTTCCTTCCTGGCTGCCCTCGCTGCCGGCACACACCGTCCCGCCAGTGCCTGGGGAAGTCGCTCTGCCTGCACCGGCGTTCCTGCTTGCACCATAAAAACCATTTTTAGGCAGGAGGGCGTTCTCCGAAAGCGTTTTCCTCTGGAATCCCCCGACGTGGGTTAGGGTCGGGCAGCCCTTCCTGGTGCTGCCGGCGGGGATACGGTGCAGCCCGCGGTGACACGTCCGCGGGCGTAACCCAAGCCGTGAGCACTGAGGCGGGTTTAGGAGGAAACTGGGAAAGCGCCTGTTTTGTATTAGTGTCTGTGAGGGTTAGGTCTCGGGTGGGTTTGGCTCTGTCTCGGGGTCAGTAGATCTTCTTACTTATTATTTTTAATAAAGGCCCAAGCTTTAGAGACTGCTCCATGTGGATATCTTGTCACAAGTGCCAACAGGCGTGGGGCTGGAGTGTGGTTTGTAAAGGGCTTTGGGACGTTTTGGGATGAGAAGTGGCTTTTTGGAAACCACAGGCTGCAAGAGAATCAATCAATAGAATCATAGAATAGTTAGGGTTGGAAAGGACCTTAAGATCATCAAGTTCCAACCCCCCTGCCATGGGCAGGGACACCTCGCTCTAAACCTGGGGTTTATTATTTGTTATTGCAGCTTTTGGGATCTCTTACAGGGTGGACTTTGTGGTACAGGTTGATGATTGGCAGAAGTTAGGCTGTATTTGAGGGAACCTAGTAGCACTTATTCCTAAAAGAAAAATGGGGTGTGCTGTAACTGCACATTCTTTGGAGAGGGGGATCTGTGCTGGTGGTCCTGGTTTGTGCAGCACCGTGGGTGCACGAGTTGCATTTCTCCCAGCAAACTCTGGGCAAACAGCTAGTGGGGTTGAACGCCAGGGCACCCTCCCCACTTTGTCATGGCCCACTGACCTTCCTGCTTGCTAAATGAAACATTCCTCATTTGCCAAACGAGGCACCCGCTTCCCCAAAACCTCCACCGAGGCTTTTTCGGTGCTGGTGGCAGCAACACCAGTAGGCACAAGGGCTGACGTTTTCCCCCGGCAAGAGCTGGAAAAATGCCGTCCAAAATATACTCCCGGCATTGAAGCAAGAAATAATCTGGGATCTGTGCCGGCTCTGACCCCTGTGGCGCGTGATTGCTAACAGCTGGGAGGGCTTGCGGCGGCCACAGCAGCGTGGCCTCCCGTCTCCGCCTGCACCACTGATGCCCTCCCAGTTCTTGCTCTTCTTGCTTTGTGTTTTGGGGCATGGGTAGGGAGGGAGAAGGATTTTTTGCATTAGTGTGTCACTCTCACCCATGGGCTGCGTGTCAAAATGGGGTCCGGCATTCAAAGGTCTGCTGGAAGCAGATGTGGCTCTTGGATGGCTTTTGGGAGGGTTTTCTTCCCCCCTCGTTGCAAGCGCGCCTCTCTCCTCCTTCCCACTCTCCCCCTTGGACTGGGGGAGGAAGGAAAGGGAAGGCAAAATAAAACCACGAAGGAAATGAGAAGCAGCTTCCCACCTTTGGCGTTGCCCTCCCCATATCTGGCCATTGGCCAAGTGCTGCATTCAAACTGGCGCGCACTGACCACTGGGGAGGCAGCAGAAATTCAGTGCTGTCTTCCATGCAGCGGTGGCATCGACACTGACACACTGAGCCCTCAGAGGGGCAGTTCCCAGTGCCTAGGATATCTGAGAGCAAGGGTTTAAGGTGATGTGGGAGAAAATGTGTGCTGGTGGTTAATGACCATGGGGGGGGGCTTTACCGCAGCTTCACTCTGGGATTTGAGACAAACTGTCAGGTCACCTTGTCAGCCCTTTTGGTCTCCTTTTGGATTGGAAAGTCTTGTATGGGCATGTAGATCTGAGAGCAGAGCTGTTCGGCCAGGTCACCCATGTTCATCACAAGACATGTACCATGGGAAAAAAAAATGACCTTATCAGACAGAGTGCTCCCAGGAGCATCCCCCAGTGATGCCCATGTGCTGCAAAATCTGGCGTATTCTCGGGCAGGGCAAGATGAGAGGGAAGCCCAGGGATCAGCCCTGCTTGTCTGGCTGCTGCAGCCTCAGATCCTGTTCTGGTGGGAATATGGCAGCAGTGAAGTCCCTCTGCGTGGTGGGCTGGCAGCCATGGCACGAGGTGCTCTCCACGGCACACCTCCATCCTTTTCATACCCTATCCCTCTTTCCCTGTTCTGTTCTTTTGGCTCCTAAATAGCTGTTAATTTTCAACTTGGGGACAGTGGGATTTTGGGGGAGGACAAAGAGAGCTGAGTTAAATAACATACAGTTATTCATACCACTGCTTGTAAAATCCTGGGTGTCCTTTGAAGTGGGACATGGTTTGGAGTAAGTAACCCTTCCTGGGATGGCTGGAGACGAAGAGGAGCAGTGAGTTCTCCATCCCTTGTCAGGAAACTTTTCTCATCTGAATTAGCATGCAAGACAGTGCTGCATAAACCAGAAAACCCCACTGTGGAAACACAAAATAATGTGGCATCTGCCATTAAAATGCTGTTGCTTCCTGACAGTGACCCTGTGCAAGGAGGAGAGGGTCTGGGCACAAGTGCCTGGCAGCTAAGGGTTAATCCTCCCTCTTGCACAAGTAGCAGCTCCTCAGACTTGGACTCCCAGTGTCCTAGGTTACTCTCCAAACAGACACCCAACAGACACCCTCAGCCCCTGGCCGGTTAGGTGATGCTCATTCACAAGCCCAGGGAGGGTGACAGAAGTGGTGGGTTTGTTGTACAAAAGCATGTGGCTTTTATGGTTCACCTCAAGATGCAGGGCTGCACCAAGCCTCTTACCTCTTCTCCCTCCTCCCAGTCCCCAGGCACCATCCCCTTTGGCCTTGCTGCTCTGTGCATCCTCACTGCTCTGTGCATCCTCACTTCCTGTGCTTCTTGGTGTCTCAATGGAGGAGGCATTGGGAGGAAGATGGGACAGAGGACAGTGTGTGCTGCTGGGGCCATTGGATTTGTCAGGGCGGGATGAAACATCTGTCCCCAGGTCTGGGTGTCCCTCGCTTTTAGGGAAACCTGTAAACCCTTTTTTCTTCTAAAACAGTAAAATCTACAGACACAAAGAAATAAGGCAGATTCTGTATAGGGTTGCTGCAGAGATACACTAAGAGGAGGAAAATCTATGTCGGGGGAAAAATGGGCGGAAAAATAGTTTACAGACTTAACAGAGAAACAGTTTAGGATGAAAGTGCTCCAAATTGTTCCTTTTCTAACAAAGCAGGGCAGGAGGATGCTCCTGTTCTGTTGCTAGATTGACCCTGGGAGGGCTGGGCATGAGCTGCAAGTGTGGAGAAACCTTTTGCAAAAGCACAAGAGCTCCAGAAAAGGGGGAAGTGGGGATGCCAGCTGTGAAAGAGCACTGCCTTTTGCTGTCAGAGGGCTTTTGTCCCCTGATGGGGTAGGGGAGATGCAGGACTGCACTGGGCACAGGCCCAAGTCTAGAGGTCAGGGTTGAAGAGCACCGACAGTGGGTTTTAGTGTGATGGAAGGGAATAGCTGCAGTGGCCTCTGGAGCGTGTGCCAGTGTTGGCTCAAGAGGCTGTCTTGACTCTGTCCATGGGGTTTCCTCGGAGCTGGTTCATCCCTTTTTTCTTGTTCTCCAGAGGTATTTAGGAATGACCATAAAGACAAGAGCTGAGGGTGTGGGGTGGGATGTTCAGGCATGCTGCTGTCTCTGTGTCCCCAAGGGGTCATGGCACGTGGAAATTCTGGAGCAGCAGAGAGCTGCTTTCTCGACTCCTGGGATGGTGGTGGTAATGGTGGAAGATACTGGTTGAGTTTCATGGTCCTGCACTATAGGTAACATCCCTATGTCTTTCTCTTCAGCAGGGTGTCCGACATGGCGAGTGTGCTCTCCAGGCGTCTGGGGAAGCGCTCCCTGCTAGGCACCCGTGTCTCCACCCCTGGTGCCTTGGCCGATGGGGTGCTGGTGGCCACACAGATCCCTGGCTTGCAGACTGACCTTGGCCGGGCATCCACCTATGCGGTACCTCAAGAGGATGGATCCTGTACACTGTTAGCGGAGGAGAGCAGCCAGACGCCCAGGCTTCCCAGCCCCAGCTGCCAGCAGCTCTGTGCCGGACAGCAGGTATGTACAGAGGCTCTCGGTGTCCTTGCCTGGTGGGATGTGCTCTGGTGGGTGAGAGAATTCCTGGGGCTCTCCGGATGCAGAGTGCATTGGGGATCTGCCAATACTGAGTCATTAATAGGTGTTGGTGTTAGTGCCCATGCCCCTAGGCATGCCTGGTGGATTTCTGCTTGAGCTGGTATGGTCCAAACCCATCTCTTCCAGGAGATGTTTCCAATCCTAGGCAAAAGTGGGTCTCCAGAGAAGAGGGTGAGAAGACCTGATGCTTCCCTCCAGCATTCTCCAAATGACTGAGGCAAAGGGAGGTGGTTTCTATACATTCAGTGACTCCCAGGGGATTTATCTTCTATGAACATGTCCTGTCTCCCCATAACTCATGTTTACATCTGAAGGGAAGCGGCAAGGAGCCCCCTTCTGCCTCGGGGTTGAGGGCTGATGGTATGGGACATGTGGTGAAGAAGCTTAGGTAAGACTGAGGCGCAATGGCTTACCCAGAAAGAACATGTAGTCCTGCTAGATCCCAACACTGGTTGTGCCATGGGCTCCTGAGGGCCGTGCCTTGGCCAGGATGCTGCCTAGAACAGGAAGCAGCACTCATTTTTGAGCCCACCAGAGCAGTTCCTGCTAATTGCTGGCCAAGCAACAGTTTTCAAGGAGAGCTGTGAGCTGCTGACATAGAACCTGTTTCTCGGCTGCTACCTGCAAAACTGTAAAACATTTTCTGGACAGAGCTCATGAAGTGGATCGTAAATAAAGTCCCTGTTTGATTTCCTGGCTCTTCCTGCCCCATGCTCATTAACCACAGGACAGTGAGAGTTGTTCTCTCCTATGTGCTCCACTGTGGAGGATTTTGTTTGCTTGCTTTGCTGCTGTGAATGGCATAAAAATAGTAATGGGGTACCTGTGCCGGTGGTTGTAAAGCTGAAAGGGATGTGGGCTGCTTGTGCTGTGTGTGGTTCATGCAGAAGTCTTGCTCGTTTTCAGAAAGCAAGGTCAAGGTCTTCTGTGTCTTGATTCTTGCACTGATCACCGTAACCTTGGTCTCACTGCAGGCAGCTTTTTCCACCATGGTGCTTCTCCTGGAGGTCCCACCTGAGGTAGTTTCACATGCTCCTCCCCAGTCAGGGTATAGGGGTATGTGTCCATCCTATGTTGGCTGCTTGGTACAACACCCATGGCACTTCCATAAAGAGATATTCCTATAAATAGCCAGAGACACGTGTAGTGTCTTTCAACCAGCTACATTTCCACTAACAGAAATAGGTTCATGGGTGGTAGTGGTGGAAAACTGCCCAACAGGAAGAGTTTGGGACTCTGAAGAAGGGCATGAGGTGAACTTTGCACATGTCCTTCCCCTGCATGAGGAGTTGAGACTGGAGGAGACAAGGCATACATTCAGGATCACTTCTGCCAGGAAACCTCTGTTCCCCTGCTCCCCCTATGCCTGTTAATCTGCATACGTTGCTAGGGTGTGTAATAATTGTGGGACTCCTTGCAGTAGGATGGCGTGAGAACAAAGCCAGAGCAGACAAATTAATTGGAGGAAAGTCCACCCAGAGTCACAACAGTCAGAGGTGGTTGATACTGGCTCAGGAAATCCCTCAACTTGGGATGGCCAGTCAGGGAGACTGTGTCTGGGAAGAGCACCTCTCTTGGTGGTGGGGTTGCGATGAACCCTGGTCAGGCCTCTGGTTTCCTGTGAGAGCAGTCTGAAGTCCAAGTTCTTCATGACAGGCTCTGGCTTTATCCTGAAGCTCTCCATGGCCCCTTCTGCTGGAGAAGGAGGAAGAGGGGGAATTCTGCAGCAGGCAAAGGCTTGCTTGTGCTGTGGCAGGACATCCCCCAGCAGCAGCAGGGCACCAGGTGGCACCAACAGACCGCCTCTCATGTCATTTTCAGGTCCTCATCACCTACAGTGGGCAGGAGTGCGCTGGCCTTGTGGAGCAGCACAACCCACTGAGTGACAAGATGAAGGTGCTGCCAGAGCAGGGCTTGCAGGCGTGCTGGAGGGTACAGGACGTGCGGTCAGCCATGCTCCAGCCCCCTACCCTGCCTGCAGCTGGTGGTCCCACCCCTGCTGATGCACTGCAGAGATCTGTGTCCAGCAGCATCGATGTGCCCAAGAGGTTCGTGCCTTTGGCTGGTGGGATTTCACTCAGGTGGGAGAGGGGCTCTGGGCAGCTCCGGCAGTGCTCACGCTTGGTTTTATGCCAACAGAGCGAGTGGTGATGCTGAGGATATATCTGCCTTCCCAGCATGGGATTATCCAGAGCATGGTTAAATTTAGGATTAAGGGGATTTTAATTTTTTTTTTCCTCCAAATGGGAAGAAAACATCCTTCCCAGTGACTTCAAAATGAGTCAGTCTATGGAGGGAGGCGGTAGGAGTGAACTTGTGCTGCTGCTGCAGATTGGTGCCCTTTGGGTGCCCAGTGGGTCATACCTGGGCTGTTTCTCTGCATTTTCCTTGGCACATGTCACATCTCTCCCCTTTTGGCGCAGGAAAGCTGATGCTGCTGTGGAAATGGATGAGATGGTGGCAGCCATGGTGCTGACAAGCCTCTCCTGCAGCCCTGTGGTGCAGAGCCCTCCTGCTGGTGAGAGCAGCATCCCCCGTGAGTATGCTTTTAAAAATACACATATATATAAAAGAAAAAACATCTGAAAGAAAAGGATATGTGGAGAAACATGCTGAGCCATTTGGATCTCAGTGCTGGGCTTCTTGCTGGCTGCATTCATTCTTTATTCCTGTTGTTGAAGAGTTGCCAGCACTGTGATGATGCTGGGCTGGAGGTGGCTGGGGAGCAGCACAAGGGTCATGGCAGAGCCCACAGGTGTCAGCACCAGTTGGGGCCGAGTGAGCTGTGATTCCTCTGGCAGCATGGTGTGGGGTAACCCTGCTCTCCACAGCCGTCCCAGGGGACCTGGGAGCCCCACGCAGGAGTCCCATGCCGGGGAGCACCACTCAGGCACTCCTTTTTTTAGCCACAGTTTCATTCCCCAGGGGTCAAATGCAGCCGGCAGGATAAAAATAGCCTCTTGGAGCCGTGGGAAATGTGCGTGCCCTGGTGCTGGCTGCTTGCTGTGTGCTGGCTGTGCCCGCGGAATTGCACTGATGCCAAGGAGCATGGGGAGGGGAAGCAAGGGATAAACGACTAATAATTGGGAGCTGGCACTGAGCAAAAGTGCAAAGGCTTCACCTTGCCAGCTTTTAACAAAGTAAATCGTTTTAGGCGAACTGCTGTTGTGAGTGATCCAGGCTCAGGGCTGGTCTCTGCCCTGGGGGGCCGTTGATTGGCCTTGAGCTGATGGTGGCGCATGTGTCCCCTCCCTGCAGCCTCACGGGCAGTGTGTGATCCATGGAAGGAGAGCGGTGATGTCTCGGACAGCGGCAGCAGCACCACCAGCGGGCACTGGAGTGGGGGCAGCGACATCTCTACCCCTTCACCTCCCCACCCCGCTGGCAGCCCCAAGTACTCCAGTGAGGGCCTGAACTCTCCCCAGGTGGATGATGGCTTTGAGACCGACTCTGACCCCTTTCTCCTTGATGAACCCGCTCCACGCAAGAGAAAGGTACTGCTGCTGTGGCAGGGGGTGCCAGCACCAGTGGGGCGGCTCTAGCTGAGTTGGCATCCTGTATAGAGAGGATGCTGCTGCTGGGCAGAGAGTGACATAGGCTATCTCTCCACCAGAACTCGGTGAAGGTGATGTACAAGTGCCTCTGGCCAAGCTGCGGCAAGGTGCTGCGCTCCATCGTCGGCATCAAGCGGCACGTCAAGACCCAGCATCTCGGGTAAGGTGAAGATCTTCTTAATCCCCCTCTGACCACAGGTCCTGCAGCTGTGTAATTTGTAATTCTTGCAGCAAATATCCCCAGTGTCAGAGATAGTGGCCTTTGTGCACTGAGTTTGGCAGTTCTCATTCGTGTTACAAGAACCACTGTTGTATGTGTCCCCGCCTTTAGGTAGCCCAGAGCTCTCGGGAAGGTATGGGAGCCCCATTTGAGCTTTGGGACTGCCCAGCTTGGATGTGCATTTTTTTACTGGGAGAGTTCAGGTCACTTGTGAACCCTGGGCAGATGCAGACAGGCACCAGCACCACTGGGTTTTGCAAGGGATGCCAGCCAGAAAGCTGTGCCTCCTGTGGCCATTGTGTCTGGCATAGGCACCCATGTGCCAGCGTGGTCGGGACTGCCTCTTTGACATTTTGCTTTGCTTTGTCCCGATCTCTGAATTCCCCCAAAATACAAGGTGGCAAGGGTGGGGGGATCACTTTGCTGTGCTCCCCTACTGTGGGCCTGTGACACTTTGCATCGCAACCTCAGTTTTCTCATGCCTTTGTCCATATTCTCCAGTGTGGTTTTTTTTCTCTCTTGCCTTGCAAACATGAGCACTCTGGGAAAGGCCAGGATAGAAGGGCTGCAGTGCAATTGGGCAGCGCTGGACTGCCATCCAGTGCCGGCTGGATAAACATGCTGGGAAAATAATCAAAAGGACTTCAGGGCTGTTTCCTGCTGGGTCAGCTGCAGGGTTTCATCTGCAGCTGTGCTAAGTGAGCTCGATTAGAAATGAGCAGGGGATTTTCTGTGGTGCCTGGTCAATATGCCAGTATTTTTTAAGGCCCAGAAAAAGGTATTGATGTTCCTTGGAAGTGTGAGGTGCTGCTGCAGAGGCACTGGGTGTTGCTGATCACAGCTGATCTGTTATTCTGGAGTGTGAGGGTGGAGCTGCTCTGGCTGGGAAGGCAAGATCACTCTCCCTCCAGGAAGTCAGGCGCCACTCACCTGGATGGAAACCGGGCTGCCTTTTCACTGATGCTCCCCTTTCCTCCTGGCAGGGACAGTGCAGACTCTGACCAGCGGAAGCAAGAGGAGGATTTCTACTACACTGAAGTGCAGGTGAAGGAAGAGCCAGCACCAGAGGTGGCTGCCACCACCAGCCCCATATCCACATCTGCCCCCATCATCATCCAGCAAGCCCTGGCGAAGCCAGAGGCGCTGCTGGTGGAGCAGCCAGTGCTGGAGCCCGCCCTGGCCAGCAGTGCCCTAAGCCAGTCTGCCCCCAGCTCCTTCTGGCACATCCAGGCGGATCACGCCTACCAGGTGAGCTGGTGGCATCTCCTGGGGATGGGTCGTGTCCTGAAATCTTGGCAAAGGGCAGGTCATGATCCTGGTTTTGCTGCAAGTCCCCGCTGCAGCAGGGGTGTTTCATTGCCACTCCCACATTGCCACTTCCACGTTGAAGGGACTTTGGTGCCCGTGTAACAGCATCTGGAGCCTGCCTGCTCTTCAGCCCTTGAGCAGCCAGCTTCATTAACACCTGGTTGAGTGGTTTATGTGCTCCTGCCACAGCTCCCAGGCCAGGGTGAAGCTGCTGGCCTCTGCTCCCCTGCAGTTACCCCGTGCTGGTATGCAACACGCCCTTCTGCCGGCAGATAACCGGGGCTGGAATGCAGCCGTGCCGGATCCTGAACGTCTCTGCTGCACACTTGTTGCAGAGGGCACAAGCTTGGAGGCATAGAAAATCTGGGCATCTGGAGTGGTGGCCTTGTGAGAACCATGGGCCAGTGGTCCTCATTGCAGGGGCTTCTTGAGAGCAGAACGCTCTTCTGGAGCTGACAGTTAGTACAGGGACAAGGTATATAGATCCATAAGCTGCTGGCGTATCCATTCCTGTCCCAGGGAAAGGATGTGATGTCCCCTGTGTTAGCAGGATCTAGCACCGGAGGAGGGCTTGCGATGGGGATTTCCATCCCGCCCCAGGGCTTGCAGTTTGTGGGTGCTCTAGGCTGGTCTTTGCTGGGAGATGAATGCCTGTGGGCCACACACAGGAAGGGGGAGGCTTTGAGGCAAATGCTGATCCCTCTTTTCCCCCACAGGCATTGCCCTCGATCCAAATTCCAGTGTCCCCTCACATCTTCACCAGCATCAGCTGGGCCACCGCCACCTCAACCCTTCCATCCCTGTCACCGGTGAGTCCTGCATGTGTTTCCCCTTCATCCTTTTGGGGGGCAAGGTTGGGCTAGGAGATGAAGGGGGACCTTGTCTCTGCTTTATCGCTCCCCACTTAAAGCATCCAGATTCAGGGACTAGGGACACACCTCCCATTGTCCTGTTGCAGCACTCGGGCTGCACAGCAGGGGGACTACATCATTCTGCATGCCCTTTAACACCCGATTTCCCGCAGGTGCGGAGCCGGTCACTCAGCTTCAGTGAACCCCAGCCACCAACGCCGATGCTCAAGTCCCACCTGATTGTCGCCTCGCCGCCCAGGGTGTCTGTCGGCACCAGGTGAGGGTCCCTCTGGCCAGAGGGGAGCAGAGGTGGAGCCCATCAGGAAAGGGGTCCTCTCCTGCAGCTCTGCTGAGGTGTACTGCAGCGATGATGCTCAGCTGCTGTTCCAGAGCCTTACCCCTTCAGTACATGAAAGTATCTGCAACAAGTTGATAAATGTTATTTCTTGTTTCCCCCCTTTTGCAGGAAAGTCCGCGGTGAAGCCAAAAAGTGCCGTAAGGTTTATGGCATCGAGCACCGGGACCAGTGGTGCACAGCCTGCCGGTGGAAAAAAGCCTGCCAGCGCTTCCTGGACTGAGCGCAGCACCGCGGTGCCGTGTCCCTCCCCTGCTTCTACCCAGGAGCACTGAAGTCCCTCACTGCTGCAACCAGGGACCTTGGAGGTATCTCTTGCAACCCCAGAAGATGCCTCCAGAGCTGCCTGTAAATTCCTCCTCGTGTATATTGTACATCTGCTGGTTTGCTCTGTTTTTAAAAGAACGTTTTCCAACTTTTTTCTTTTTTTCTAAACCTGGAGAATATCTCCCTTTGTACAGTAAAAGCTGAGGCTGGGAGGGAAGGAAGCTGGTTCCTCAGGGTTCACGGGAGATTGTAGGTGATTTGGGGACCAAAGACCTTCCTGCATTTCCCAGATCAGCCCTAAGATTTCCCAAACTGCCACAGCATGGCTGGGGTGAGGCATCGAGGCAGCTCTCTGCGTCCTTTTACTACCTATAAAAGTGCAAATTCCTTGTACCCTTTAAGGGAAGGGGTCTGTAATGATTCTAGCTTTAAGAAAGAAAATGCCATTGGATTGCTGGAAGCCAGGTGGGAGCTGTTCTTGGTACAGGGGTTGGAGGGTTCTTTCCCTGCCTGCATGTGGTCTTTGCTTGGGTCACATCACACCTGTGGTTTGAGCCTACACATGCCTCCAGTCAGTTCCACTGACTCTTGGGAGGGGGGAAACACCCAAAACACTTTAATCAGGAAAACTCTGAGACTTTTTAAGGCAAAACCTACATTTTAGGCTTTGTAAGTCTGCTTAGCTCTGTGACAAATCCAGGTTGTGGTGCTTGCCACGTGTTTCAAAACAAGGTTGAGCAGTTTTACTCTTTTGTAAATTAATGATTCCACCAGTAAATGCAGCTGGGAGGACTGGGAAGGCCAAACACTTCAATATTGGCTTTTAAATCCCATCGAGCCTGGGGGGAGTCAGTTTTCTGACTTCCATCCTTTAAAATCGGTATTTACCCGATCGAAATTGCTGGTGCTTTCTTGTCAATGTTGCTGCTGTCTCTGCTCCACCAGCAGCACTGGCAGGGCATCATGCTTGGTGTCAGACTGGGATGCCTGTGGCCCTGGAGCCAGATTCCCGGTCACTGGTTTTCTTCCCTCACTGGAACCGGCAGCTGTTTGGATTTGTATTACTTTTTTGCTGCGTTTTTGATAATCACAGTCTCTAACCTGCAGCCATCGAGGCGAGAGTGGTCCCTGCACTCAGCTTCAGCCTGGGTTGGTTTTAAGGCCAGTGCCACAACCCAACTTTCCTTATAGAAGTGAAATCAGGTGGCTGGGAGAGTCCGGTATTGTTCCCAGATCACCATGAGCCCTGCTGCTGAAGGGATCAGATGGGCAGGCGAAGTGGGTTGAGATCCATTTATTCCTGGTGCTTGTCGATGTGTTTGGGTATTTTTTGTTGTTCGTTTCTACTTCTGTGCATGTAAACAGTTTCCCATCCTGCAGCCTGATCTCTCTGGTATCCAGCTGGCCAATGCAAAATATGGCCACTGGAAAGCCAGAGGGAAACTCCCCAGGCAGGGAGTGACCCTGCGGGGTTCCATCCCTGGGTGTGTCTGGACACACTGGCTCAAATCCCAGGAAGAGAAGTGGTTTTGGCTCTGCTTGTTCAGGCTCCCATCCTTGCTGGACTGCAGTGTTAGGAGTGAAATGTCAGAAAAAGCAATTCCCACTTCCGTCGGCACAGGTGCCGAGCCTCTCAGGAACGGCACTGGGATGTCATCATGCATGGTTTTGGTGATGCCAGTGGCTCTCAAGAAGCAAGCTGGTGCTTTGGGATCTGTGCATTCCTCAACCCACCTTTGCCTCCACAACACAGAGAAACCAGGCAGGGCCAGAGATTCTGTTCCTTGTTCTTTATGCCCTTTCCGCCCCAAATGAGATGGGGCAGAGCCGGGTCTCTCGGTACATTGGCCAAGCATGGCTAAGGTCCCACTGGTCCCAGCTCAATCACTCTGGGAATTGTCAAACCAAGCCATCGGGGTGCAGCACCGCCTCCTCCCACTGCACACAGCACTTCCTGCCCAGCAGCGGTGCTGACCTGGCATCGGAGTGTTGGAGCGTGGTGCCATTTTATCAGGGATGCAGGTACAGCTGCTTTTCCAAGGGCTGCTGCAGTATGGACAGAGGTGAGCAGGGTTGTCCCTAGTGCTCACAGCGCTTTCCTGTTGGGTTTTTATTTTTAATGGAGAAACTGGTGCAGAGTGGGTTGGAATTCATTTTTTTCCCTTCTGGTTTGGGAGTATTTTGGAATTTTTACACTTTAGAGCAGAAAAACCTCATATTTTTGCAGAAGTGACAGCAGGCTTCCACCAGGATGGTTGGCATTGGATATATACTTTTATATTTCCCCCCTTATTATTTCCCTTCCCTTTTATCTTTTAACTTGCTTCCAGCCACCTCCCAACCGTTGGACTTTCCCTCCTAACACTTGAGTCTTGCTGTTCTCAAGAGAACTCCTCTTCATCCCCAGCCACAACATGTAAATCCCATGTGGAGAGTTTTCCCTCATCCCCATGGCTGTCTCCCAGAGTGCATATATGTATGTACATAAGAACCTCTTAATTGGACGCTAATTAGAGGCTGCTTCCCCTTCTCTGCTGGGATACACGGCTGGAGGGGTAGAGCTGGACCCCGATTGGCAAAGCGAGTGTATTCAGTGCAGGGTGACACCACGTTGTCACTGCTGCCATCAGTGGGGACTGCAGGGTCCTGTCACAGGGAACACTTGGCCTTGTGGCCTTGCCGCTGGTCAAGCAGGGACGGTGCTGGGTTGAGTGAATTTTCTGTCATGTTGAAGCTTTTTTAGCTGTCTTCCGAGTATTATTTTTATTGTAAAAAAAAAAAAGCCCACAAAAGAAAAGAGAGGGGAAAAAAAAAGTTAAATAAAAATGTGAAATGTAATTTTTACAGCAGCAATATGAGATATATTTTATAAGAAATAAAAAGAAAAGTTGCCTGATGCCTCGTTGGCTCTGCCTTGTCCTTGCAGCCCCAGTGTCACCCCCAGTGTCAGTGGGTGCTCCCGTGTCCCCCAATACAGCGGTGGCAGCACTTTCTGCGGCTGCTCAGCCTCAGCCTGAGAATCGTCTTGGCACAGCCCTTGCTGGCACCACTAGATAGCAGTGTCTGCCCGCTCTCCGCGGCAGCAGGTGCTGCGCATCCTTCTTTTGTGCTTTTCCCCCTAAATACCCTAAATCCAGCAACTTGTGAACCTGATACGTGCTAGACCCGTGTGGGTTATGTGCAGGATGGGCTCAGCAGAGTCTCAGGGCCTTCCGATGTTCAAGTTGAGAAGTTGCTTTTAATGCAAAACCCCCTTGATAACTTGATTTTATTGGGTTTTTTAATGCATGTGGAGGTGAAAGAGGAACGGGAAAAGGGGAAATAAAGTGGAGAGAGGAAGGGACTGCAAGCTGTGGCGATGTCACTCCTCTCCCCAGATCTAGGGGCTTCTCAGAGCAGAGCCCCCTGACCTCCAGTTGGGCTGGGGATGCTGGGGGCTGTGGGTGCAGGTGCCCTCATTATCCCTATGGAAAAGGGTTGTGGGTGGGATGGAGCCAGATAGGAATTCCTTTTCTTTCTCTAAAACCCTAAAATCCCTTTTTTCACCCCCAGTAACTCCCCAGTCCATCCCATTTTTGGTTAAGGGGCGTGTGTGTGACACCACCACTTTCCTAAGTGCTGATTCCACCATCCTGCTTCGCAAATACCACAAATGTACCAAAATCTCCCTTTTTTCCGCCCTAAAACCAATTTATTCCACAGCGGAGCAGGATGATCCAGCATCCCCCATGTCTGGCAGAGAGGGGGGCACAGCAGGGACCTGCTCCACAGGCATTGACGGTCGCCAGTCGCAATAGTATTGTAGAAACAGTAAACTAATTTATTAATCCTTTTGCTATGTACAAGTTTAATGGAGAAATCTTTGTATGAAACAATTAAAAAGAACAAGATCTTGGGATTTTTTTTTTCCTTTTTTTTTTTCTTTTCCATAGGGATTATTATATTCTATTTGTTTCGTACAAACAGTGAAGGGCAGCGCTGTGGGTGAGACCCGAGCGAAGTCATTCCCATGATACGCTTTTATTGTCTTATTTTGGTTTTGGGGGGAGCAAATTAGGCAGGAGAACCGATTGGCTTCTACGATTCTCCTAGGAGCGACATGGAAAAACCGCATCCTGGCGTGTGGGGACTGGGACATGGTGCATGCCAAGGGGGGGACGTGAGGAGGACATGCGCACGGTTGGTGGTGCTGAGCAAAGAAGTCAACCCCAGAGGCTTTAAAAAGCAAGGAAAACACCTTTAAAAATGGGGGGAAATAAAAGAAAACAGGGAAAAATGAAAATAATCAGACATTTACAGGTGGTTTCTGGGTGCAGGGGTTGGAGCTGGTCACTGCTGTGGTAGCCATCAGGTTGGATGTGCAGGGATGGATCCCAATGGGACGTGACCCCTTGGCATCCCCCATCCGAAAAGTTGAAATCCTGTGGAAAGCAGTAAGCCCCAACTGGGGAATGCCAACCACTGCTGGGAAGGCACCAGGAGTATGAGATGGGATGATTTTCACTGGATCCAGGGTGGCTTTTTGACAGTGGCCAACGCAAAAAGAAAACAACCCAAAATCCAATATATTTTTTTCAAAATTCACCATTTTTCCTTATTTTGCTCAAATTCCCACCCGCTCCCCCGTGCTCTTCTCCCGCCCTCCCCGCAGCATCTCACTCCCGTCACCGGTGGAGGCCGAAATTCGTCAGGTTCCGGCTTAAATCTGGCTTTAGTGAGTGAAGAGCAAAGTGATTTTTCTGCCCGCATGCGAGTCTGAAGCGCTTTGGGGTCCGTCAGAGGGAGGATGGAGGCTGCTGGGGTGGACAGGAGCAGGGTTAGTTTTGCCTGTGCCTGGCGGAAGGTGCTGGGATGCGGTGCCGGAACGCTATAAAAAATAAAAAAAAATAGAGGAAGGAAAGGGAAAAAAAAAGGGGGGGAAATAAAAAAAAAAAAACAGAAAAAAGGAAAAAAGTAAAATTAAAAAAAAAAGAAAAAGAAAAAAGGAGCTGAGCCTCATGGAGGGAGCAGGGGCTCCCCAGGGGCTGTGGGGTCAGGGGTACATCCCCTAATTTTGGGAGATGCTACCCAGGGGAGGGGGAAAAAAGGAAAAAGAAACAAAAAAAGGGGGAAAACCTAAAATTCTCCCAAATTGACAATTTGGGGAGA